ATCGGCTGATCCTAATGGTTGCTGGGTTGCTGGTTGCTGATCACGGCTTAGCGTTTGCCGTCGTGGACTCGAGGTCCTCGTGGAGTCGCCGCGTCGCCGCGCCCTGTGCTCGATCCGATCTCGATGGCCGCACCCACGCCGTACGGAGGAGAATACGGCAATACGCAAACCGTCGGTGGCCGGCCAAGCGACGCGACGTACACGATCAATTCCAGTACAGACTACATGGATGGGCTTCGGTTGGGCCGAGCGCAGGGTGGTCCGTGGCCCACAGGGACCACCCTGTAGCTCCGCCCCTGATTGAAAACACCGAAGTTCATAAATTCTTAAAAAACTAACAAACCAAATTATATGCATGCTTAATACATAGAAGCTGAGATCTAAATCATAAAGTTCATAAATGCTTAATACACTTAAGTTCATCTTGAGAGGCCGCTCGACAACATATGCCCCTCACCCTCTTCTTCAGGACCTCAACAACGATCTCGAATAAGCGTTGTGGGGTACAACCCTGCTGTTGCCCTTGGTCCTCTCCTAATCTCCCCGTAGGAGTTGATGAACTCCCAGAAGGACACGACGTTCTCCACGCCTAGGGCAAGGACACATGTTGTATGGACTCTCATCTTGCTTTCGTTGTAAACTTGGTAGGATAGGATGCCCGCTTGCTGATGGTGGATGGTGTACTCCTGAAACGTTTCGTCGACATGGATATCAGCTAGAAAGGTCCGTTAATCCCCAACTCTCAATGGCATCCATAATAGCATGTTTATTCAGCTTGAAAAAGAACCTGCATGGGAGGATCTTGAATGTGCTCCCGATCCAGCTGGTGTCCTTGCTCTAATTAATAAACTATGCATGGAGAATTAGCATTAACTTAATACGCCTTACTATGTACGTAAGCTAGGATCTATCATCTAGTAAGATACTAGCTAGTATAATTGATCGAATAGAATGTCTAACTATAACGCACGCACCTTCTCGTATTCTTTATTTGAGCAAATTCCAAGTCTCTTAGCCACACTGATGTAGCATAGCGTTCGGTCTTGTTCTGAGCGCTTGCTCATTCTCGATTAGATCTTTCACAGAGAGCTTGCTCCACCTCAGGTGGGACGCTGATAGATTAAAAGCACTTCCTATTAGTAAGTCTACAAGACCATATATAGCGTATAGTATTGTATATTCATGTTAGTGTCAGATTAAACAAGCGAAGAGAAATTTTTACCACCCTCTTTAGCAATGGCGGATACAATTTCGTAACATTAGGTGTACATAATATTTTTTTTAAAAAAAATTCTTAAGACTATGTCTAATAGATAAATGCTAACAACAATATATATGACATTATTAATAGTTTTTAAAACTTTGTTCTTATGTTGGACTCATGTACAAATTATTCGTATATAATTTCTAGTACAAACATGATCTCCTAAATTTCCCCTACGTTACGTATTGTGATGGGCCATGTTCATCAGCCCCGGCTTTATGGGAAGAGAGTAAAGAGGAATGGGAAGAGAGTAGAGAGAAATAGGGGGAAGGATGAAGGGCTCCTACGTCTAAGAGTTTAGAAGAGAGAAATGAGAGTCCCTCATTCATCGGGGGCTGAATAGGGGTCGTCTAGAGAGGTTTTTCATGTGTTCGATCTCTTAAAATGGAATGAGGCCTCGAGTCGGGCTTGATTGGGGTTGCCCTTATGACTACTATTTATGGTACGTGTAAAAAAAAGACTATTATTTATGGTGTCTTGTTATGGATGTGAATGGAGCACATGAATGAACATGTTTATTTATAGCTGCTCATGGTCACTATGGTATTGCAAAAATATTTCTATATTTTTTCTAATACTTACCTATTTTTTAGATATTTTTAGTGTACAAGAATATCTAGACCAAGAGTATCTACTTTTCACTATGAAACATGACAAATATATCTCATGTATGCTCATTATTTATCTAGAAAGTTTCACAAATATGCATCGCTATCTTTAGCACTACCATTTAATGTATATTTATCTCTATTAGTCGTGTGTGATACTATCTTTAAATCTTTTATGCTTCCTGGCCTCCTACCCTAGTGACAAGTTCTACTTTTCCTTCATCTCGTACATTTTTTTTATGTGAATATTACTCTTTTGGATACGCATGATGCTCTTCAAGTTTGTTAATAAAAACATGGGATGACACACTTGATATGTGGATCCATCTGTCAGCCTATAGCCTTTCTATTTTTTTCTTCTCTCTCCTTAGTTAGTTCTTCCTACTCTCAATCCATCCGCAAAGGGCGACGGCCGCCTCTTCTCCTCTCGTGGCCGAGCTCACCCTAATGTTCCACAAGGCGCTTGCCTGGGCGTGCTTATGCGCTAGGCGGAGGGGCACCGCCTCGCCTAAGAGAGTAGGTGGTGAATAGGCGGTGTGCCCTAGATCTAGGGCTATCGCTGCTTGAGGGAGGAACGACGGGTGGCGGCGGAGGCGTCGAGTGCGCCAGGAGGAGGCTAGCGGTAGGTGCGGCTAGGAGGAAGGGGCATTGTGGGCGGTGTGCGCCTATTGCGGGCATCATGCACAACTGCACATCAGAGGTTGGCACAAATCACCATATATCATGCACACATGTATGCACTGTGGAGTGTGGACTACGGCTACAGCTCTGAGTTCTCACATAAAAAACAGTTGTTTTATCGATTCATGTCCTTGCGCACGTATATCTTGTAAAACTTTGGATGAGACTAGAGGTGACTACCTAGGCTACTAGTATGCTGCACTTAGGGCCTGTTTGGATCAAGCAGGTAAAGATTAGCCCTTCTTTTTATCCATCTCTAGCCCTTAGGAATCCAAACATGGGGGCTAGGGGGGTTGTTAATCTTTAGCCCTCCATTAGCCCATTAGCCGGTGGGCTAAAAGAGGCTAAAAGTGCTGAAATATGACTTTACTCTCTTCTCTCAAAACGGAGGGTACTAAGAATACAATACCAATTGCATTCATCTCTAATCTAAACAATTAATAATAACATACACACTTAACTCATACTAACTATCTTGAACACGCTAACTAAAATTTATACCAAACTAACGGAAACAATTTAACCAACAAATACTAACTGACAAATACACTTACATACGCAAACCAAAATTTCAAACTAACTTACTAACCTAAACATAGAGGAAATGTAACTAAATTTACACGTAAAAAACGAGGGCAGCCACTAAACTCAACCTTCCTAACGTATTCGATCCACCTAAATCACTTGCCATTTCTTCCCAAACAAAGGTTTTGCTTGAAACCCTAGCTACCAAGCGAACTCCTCAAATCCACCAGCAAAACACGAAATAAGAGGGGATTTACCTTGCCCTAGGCCAGGGCCAGGGGAGGCTTAGGGGTGACCACCAACTAGCTCCGGAGGCTGATCTCAACATGAGGAGGCCGGTTGGAGCCGGGGCGGCCGCTGCCAACGCCCAGACAAGCAGGGGTGAAAGAAAGAAATGAGGGAGAGAGGGAGGGAGCCGAGCCACGCCGTGGTCGATGGCATAGCAAAGGCTCAAATTAGCCGGTCAGTGGGCGGCTGGCTTGCACGGTGGCATGCCAGCCACGCCAGCCTGAATAGCGCATCTACGTTGTTTGGCCATGCCAGGGCATTAGGCGCGGCCAAACATGTTAGATTTGAAGAAAAAAATCAACCGTGTTATTTATAAATAGTGTTAAAAAAGGTTAAAAATAATAAAAAAATCTCACATGATGCATCTGTCTATGTAAAATACAACTTATTAGGTATTTCAGAAAATGAGCTACCAGCAGATGGGCATCGAATGAGCTGCTCAAAGTTCCTCAGAGCAGCCTAAAATTTAAAATCAGTGACAGAAAAATCATATGACTAACAGCGCAAGCAGCCCACATACTTGTATGTACGAGTTGCAACTTGCAATTTCTCAATATCATTTCGAGTAAGATATGCGCCCATAGTAAACCTCATGTTCAAAAAGGAAAATACACAAGCCATCTCATTTCCCAAAATGAACAGCGCACATCAAAACCTCAGATCAGCATATCGAGAATTAATATTAGTGGAGGATCACAAGTATGGAGAGTCAAAGATGAAAGGCCCACTGTCAACTCCACTTAACCAGATATGTTCCTGACAAGGAAAAAAATCATTAATAAGAAAAGCAGCAATTAACAGGAACAGTTTCAACTAAAACTCCAGGAAATACACTTTTGCCACGGAAAACCTCAAAAGCCAAACCAACCACCACAGAATACAAGTTACTAGACACAAGTTGTATATAAGAATGAAACTACATACGGCAAAAAAACAGTTGCTGCTGAACCTAGGTTCAAATATCAGTAGTTTGTCTTTATAAAAAAAAAAGTTTGCAGGAGCTAGGCCCTGACTTGCACTGTGAGTGAAGCATGTTGAAATTCGTTTGATTTTGCTCCTACAACAGGTACAGTCAGTTACAGGAAATAAGGAAAAGGCAACTAGGTAGTGCAAGTTGCTGTTAGAACATAAGCCAAATTATTCAAATTTTTGGTCACTCACAAACTATTGATCAGTTGAAAGTGATATCCATACCATTCATAACATGTTCACAGCCAAAATACAGGGTTCTGTAAATATTAAAATAATCTAACTGATGGGAATGTTGTTACTATTAAAATACTTTGATTTAAGAAGGGTTTGTAGTAGGTTGCGCCTCTAGTTTTTATATCCTCCCCCTTCTGATGTATGCTCTTTTCAGAATGCAAGGTAAGCTATTACTGCATTTTTCTTGGCTTCTTGAATCATCACACGAGCATGAAACCCTAAATTTCTCATGATCACCTACTTCGACAGTAAAATAAATATATATCATGAAAAAAACTAGTCTATCTCATAATGACGTGTGTAATACTAATGTACTGTGAGACATAACATGGAAGCTGTTCGATTTAATTTGTTTCATACTATCGACAAGTAATAAATTTCATGTCGAGTCATATTAAAACTCACCACAATATAACAAAACATTTCTTTTACTCAGTCTTCTTCTGCTTGGCTGATTGTCCAGCCCTGGTAACGATGGTATCTATGTGCCTCGATAGTACACTGTGTGCTACACCAAGCTTTTCATCAACCTGATCCTGGTACTTCTCATAGAGTGGTGGAACCAACAGAGAAAGCGTTACCCCTAGAGAAAAAAAAGAAATGGCTAGTTTAGTATGAACATTGAGCTGTCAAAAAAGAACAGTAGATCCAAACATCCATGAAGAAATAATTAACAGAACTCACCAATGTAAATGAGCGTAAGAAAGTTGAAGAGCATTCCAACGAACGAGACCACCCACAAAATCAATATCACCTTTTGCACCAAGGAGAACAGGGAAAAGGAAGAGCATACATAATTAGGAACAGATATACAGTAGAGAGTGTGTGAGAAACTGAGATTCTCAGAGAAAGAGGCAGACCTTTATAAAAACTTTCCTATCTCTCTTGATGGCGATGTCATGGCCAACAGCCAGCAGCCTATTGATCCATACAAGAGCATGATCTGCAGCTTTTTCAACAATTGCATCTGAAACCTCAAGATTAGGAAGAGGTGGAAGAGGCCTGTAGAGGAACCAAAAAACTCGTTCAGACTACCACTCTGAATGGACAACATGTAGCCTAGTTACAATGGAAGTACAGTGTACATTGCTGATCACAAAATATCACGCAAAATCACAAAAATCTAAATATCAATTAGAGGCATTGCAAAATGAAGACCAAACCAATTCCGGGGAATGAGGAAACCTGATTACACTGCTTAAAATTCAAATGCAATTAACTTCTATCAAGTTAACATATCATACACAATGACTTAGTGCTACGAGTTGCCGAAGCAGAATATGAACGATGGCCAACATCAAAAGACAAAAGTAGAGGCATAGAGCACTCAGTACAGAGTAATGATAGAAACACCTAGTCCTGCCTTGCATAAGGGACAGTACAAACATTACTACAGGCTATGGAGGAAAATGCCACATGCTAGTGGATTAGAGTATCCAGCTGTTATGTTAACTTACTGGTAAAGTAAAGCCAAGTCTTCCCTTTGCAGAGAAGGGATCATGTACTGATAGTACATGATTACTAATGTGGTGAAGGTGAAATGGACATGCTTTAAGAAAAGGGTAAACAAGAGGATCCCCTGCCTACTTAGAAGATAGATGGAGCCTTAACGACAGCTCCTCTTAACTCTTAAGGATTAAGTCCAGATTATTAATAAGCATTAATGATGCCACATATACTGAAATCAACTCGTAAGATCCTTAGAATCACTAAACCATACACTATTTTCGTAGTGAGGTACTCGAAGAAAGGAATAAGCTACATCCAAACTGACAGGAAATTATCCGATTTTGTAACAATCCATCACAAACTATTCCCAATTTAGAGGTCAAGCACCACGCCAACAAAACACCACAAAGCACAGGAGCGAACGATTCCATATCAGATCTCAGGCTAACCTCACCTGTTGAGCAGCGACGCCGACTTGGCCCAGAAGAAGAGGATGGCGACGAGGAGGAGCAGGGCGTTGGACAGGACGGAGGGGAAGCTGTAGCCCGCGCGCTCGAAGACGAACCAGACCGCGGTGGCGCCCACCACGGCCGCCGCCGAGGCGTTCCTCCGCCGCCACAGCAGCAAGTCGGCGACTGGAGCGGGTCCCCGCGCGAGGAATGTTAGGAGCAGTCAGGGATCGGCGGGATTCCGCGGGGGGACAGCAATTTTAACAATACCCAGAGAGAGGAGGGGCGCGCGTACCTGCGCCGCCGCCGAGGAGGGCGTGGAGAGATCGCGGGCCGGTGGCCATGCGAGATCGCCGGGGCTAGGGTTGGGGCGAGGATTGGACGGAGAATCTTTTTTCCGGTTTGGCTGTTTTGAAGCGGGGAGTGGTGGGAGCACAGCGCGAGAGGAGATGACGACACACCAAATGAGATCTGTGCCTGTGCCACTCCGCTGCTTTTGCCATGTTGCCTCGGGATCGACGGATAATAGTCGTTGACATGTGGGCCATAGCACGGTAAGATAACCTTTTTCCATCATAACATTTTGCGTTTTCCTTTTACATGCAAAAAAAAAATTAAAATAATTTTCTTTATTCTCTTATTGCGGTTGTTCTCTCCTCGTGTGCCCCGCACTGCACAAAATTCCATACAGGACGATCAATTCTGTGTCCTAAGAACATTTTAAAAATTTACTCTCTAAATGTAAATTATCATTTGAAATTATTTCAATTTCTATTCTAGAAGAGTCATTATAAGATGTTTGAAAAGTTTGATTTCTTTATAAATATAGTCAAATTTAAGTCATTCTTGAAGAATTTTTATTAATAAACCAAACCACGTGAAACAACTTGATATTTTACACAAATTTTTGATATCTTGACGTGTGGTCAAACTTGGTGTCAAAAAAAGTCAAACGTCTTCTTACTTTGAGTGGATTGAGCTCCAACAACTTTTTCTCACTAATAGAGGATGTCTACATTTTCTCTCAATTCAAATTAAAGAGGTTTTCAACCAGTTTGAGATTCAAAGGTTTATTTTCACCATAATTCTTATTCCTGAGGGTATTTTTCAATAATTTTAGGAAAGATTTTAAGAATCTTGCTCTAAAATCTCTTATCCAGACATCTAATACTTACTCGCTAGTAAAAGTTAGCCAGTTAATCCAAACGGTCTTAACTAATTGGTCAATTAACTATTAGCTGGTTACCTAGGTAGCAATAAAAGCTATCACTAGTTATAAACAGTAGTAAATTAAGCAAAATCCCTTGCACCAATTGATGGAGTAAGTATATTAAGAGGATGTTTGGTACTGCTTCGCTCTAGCTCCGTGTTATCGAACACCTCTAGCTTTAGAAACTCGCTCAAAAAATCTTTTTTAAGACAATGTGGAGTTAGAGTTTCAACTTTTATCTTTTTTTCCAAGTCCTCTCTCTCCACACCAAATCTTTGGAGCAAAGTATGCTGTAAAAAAAATAACAATGCGGAGTTTGAGAAATTACGGCCAACTCCATCTTTTTTTAAGTACCCATACTCCAGTTTTTAGAGTTTCAGACTTATAATGTCAGAGGATGACGAGCTGTCCGACCCTGACGTGGACAGGAGCTGGGAGCTGCCCGGCGTCCGCGCTCGCCAAGCACGAACTCACGCAGTTGCACAGGTGGCCAAGGCACGAACTCACGCAATAGAATGATGCATGTGAACCTGGGCTGCCCATACGGAGAGTCAAGAACCACAAACACATATACGTACTCTTCGTCTCGGTTAATTTTCTATTTTTCTTAAAAATATCAAGTACAATTTTAATCCAGGGCACAATGAACTATTTGCATGAAAATAACTCATTCCTAAAGCTGGAGCTAGGGTGTATGCCAAACACTATCACCTGCTCCACAAACTCCACGGTAAAGTTGCTCCAAGCGGGAGTTCGTGAAAGCGAGCTCAAAAACGAGAGCGGAAGCAGTTCCAAACACCTTCTAACAACTAACAATTAGACATGCAATAGTAGAAAAACATGGATGTTTTTGGTAAAACAAACACTTCAACCCACCGATGGCATCTAAATATCTCACAACTACTAGTTAACCCCCTCAAGAGCTATTGTTCTCTCTCCTTTTCATTTACTCCCTCCGTCCCAAATTATCTATCGTTTTTTATCGTGCCGTAAGTTTGATTCAATTTATAAAAAATAAGTACGACATTTACATCTTCAAATAAATTTATTAAAAATTAGATTCAAAGATCTTTCCAAAGATACCAATTATGTACTATAAATATTAATATTTTTAATATATATTTAGTCAAAGTTGTTTCTTAGTAAGCGAAAACGACAGATATTTTGGGACACTTGAGCGTGTATTTTTCTAGCTCTAACTCATAGCCAATCAATTTCTACGCCGAACCAAGATACTATTTGGATCCTCTTGGTGAGATAATTTCATTCCTCGTTAACAACTCATCCAAAGTCTCCCATTGTTTAATTCCTTTGGTATATTTTAAATTTAATACTTTCTTGTAAATCAGTATTTTGTCTTGTAGATTTAAATTCCCTAGTTCCTGTTTCTGTGCTTTTATTATGAAAATGAACCTATTATTTGAAATCTATGTTTAATTCATTCAACTTCTTGCGGTTCAAAGGCCCCCTAAAAGGTGGGATGGGAATAAGATGTCCCATGGAGATTTTTTTTTCAGTATAAGGCTACCATTCATTTAAGGAGGAAAAAAAGTTTAGGTTGAAACGGCATTAGGGGTTGTAAAAGCGAGTAAAATCCCTTAGAAAACACACATGACCAAACACAGTTACAAGATTAACAACATCTTAGGAAAATCCACCTTCTATGTTCAATATCGTCTTTGGCTCTAGTGTCTACTTGATAGGCCAACAGCTAGAGTTTTGGAAAAAGCGACAACGGTGTTATTTTCAAATGCTCCACATGATTTAAACGACGACCCATTGAATGTACAATGTTGAGACTTTGAAATATGTCGTGCCTCCTCCCACCAATCAACAGTGGACTCAAAGTTATTTAGTTATGTTGCATTGTTCAAAGTGGATTACTCTGGTACAAACCATCTGGACGAAAGGATAGTGCAAGTAAAGGTGGACGCCTGTCTCCAAATGTCTATTACAGAAAGCACATGAATTTTGATATGACGACTCGCGTAAAAGTTAAGTTGTTTCTTGTTAGAATTTTGTTGGATCAATGTCCAAACAAAGAATTTGCATTTATTCTTTGATCGAGCTCTCCAAACGATTTTTTTTTTTTTTACTGAGGATAAACCTCTGCTTTTTAGAAAGCAAAGTAACCATACACAGACTGGGGATACCAGTTCAAAACATAGAAACTAACAAGGCTGCAACATCCAACGCCTATTACAGCTCTAAATTTCCACTACATCAGATTGACACACTGAGTTAGGCTTGAATGCTTTGAGCCAACTTGTGATGGAGGCCTTCATCTTGAAGATTTGCTCCTGGTCCTTCTCCTTAAGATTGGCGCTCTACTTCTGCAGTAATGACAACGCAATGTATATAATCACCCTGTTCGCTTGAGCTACTTTTCAGCCATGGAACAGTATTTTTCTCACACAACATTTCAGCATAAGCATCAGTATAAGACAAATTTCTCCCCTTTACAGGCATGGCCACGTACCAATCATCGGGAGCCAAGTCAACGCGCGATTGAACAGCAGTGAAGCAGCTCACCTCCGTTCTTATGGTCCGTGGTGTTGTTATAGAGGAGGGAGTGAAGAAGAGCGTCTTGGCCAAATCGGATGTGGTGAGCGGGTATATCAGTTGAGCCTGAGGAAACATCCTGTTAATAGCCATCCTGTTTCTGGACGTCCACTGAGCCCAAGCGATACCTGAAAATATGAAAATGATCAATCTAGTGGGAAAAGGCCCCTTGCCCCTTAACCAAGTGCTACAGAAATCTTCCCAGGATTTAGGATAAGAATCTAACTCAAAAACTTCCTTGAGTTTTTTTAAGAGCTAAATAATCTGATTTCGTTGCACCGGCCATTTGACATCCAACGCCATCCAATGATTTCTGTTTCTTTTTTGGCTGTTGAGTTAGTTATTGATCATAATATAAATTCACACCGGAGCATATTTGAATTTTCACATTGTATAAGAAAAATAAGACATGGCACATTTGCATTTCCATCCCGTTTCTGGACGTCCACAGATTCAAGCGAATCCTGAAAATTTTTTGAAATTATATTTGGATATTATAGCGGGAAAATGCCCTTGTTTTAACCTTGCTAAAAAAATCTTCCCAGGATTTAGGATAAGAATCTAACTGAAAATTTATTAAGTTTTTTTAATCCATCAATAATCTGATTTCGTTGCACCGCCCATTTTATCATCCAAATTATATCCAATGATTTCTGTTTCTTTTTTTAAATGTTGAAATTAGTTATCGATCATAATATAAATTCGCACTTTTAGAGCATATTTGAATTTTATTCATATATATAAGAAAAATAAATATTCTGTGGGATAGGGTTGCAATTTTGAGGTTTGGCCTATCTCCGCGCGCGCCTCTCCCCCCAAAGTCTGCGAGACAGCGATGCCACATCATATTCAGTTCGACTGGTCGAATGCAGCAGGCAAGAATCCGGCCTGCCCAGTGCCTATCCAAAGCAAGTCCAGGTTCAGAGAACGGAACAAAACTTCTCACATAAAACCCCACACCACCACACCGCAGATTCCCCACGGCCCCTCTGTGTCCACTCCTCTCTCGCCGGCGCCCGCGTCGCTCGAGTAGCAGTCAGCCTCAGCCATGGCCGCGGAGGCGGATCAGGGCTTCCACCCGCTGGACGAGGCGTCCCTGGTCGCCTACATCAAGGCCACGCCGGCGCTCGCCTCCCGCCTCGGCGGCGGCAGCCTGGACTCCATCGAGATCAAGGAGGTCGGCGACGGCAACCTCAACTTCGTCTACATCGTGCAGTCCGAAGCCGGCGCCATCGTCGTCAAGCAGGTCCGACCCTCACCCCCACAGCACACCCCCTTCTCGTCCTTATTAATCCTCACCCTGACGGCGCCGCGCGCGGGCGGTAACGGAACACGCAGGCGCTCCCGTACGTGCGCTGCGTGGGGGACTCGTGGCCGATGACGCGGGAGCGCGCCTACTTCGAGGCCTCCACGCTGCGGGAGCACGGCCGCCTGTGCCCGGAGCACACCCCCGAGGTGTACCACTTCGACCGGGCCATGTCGCTGATGGGGATGCGCTACATCGAGCCCCCGCACATCATCCTCCGCAAGGGCCTCATCGCCGGCGTCGTGTACCCGCTGCTCGCCGACCATGTGTCCGATTACATGGCCAAGACGCTCTTCTTCACCTCCCTCCTCTATAACAACACCACGGACCATAAGAACGGAGGTGAGCTGCTTCACTGCTGTTCAATCGCGCGTTGACTTGGCTCCCGATGATTGGTACGTGGCCATGCCTGTAAAGGGGAGATGTGTACTAATAACCTGACGGTCCTTGCAATGGGTTGTGCTGTGATTGCAGTTGCTAAGTACTCTGAGAATATGGAGATGTGTAGGCTCACGGAACAAGTTGTGTTCTCGGACCCATACCGTGTCTCCCAATATAATCGGTGGACCTCGCCTTATCTTGACGAAGATGCTGAGGCAGTTCGACAGGACGATGAGCTCAAGTTGGAAGTAGCTGAATTGAAATCGATGTAATTACCTCACTGAATATGAATAGAAATAATTGCTACCTACGGTTTGTTTCTGTACATGGGAAATGCGACTTATTTGATTCCGACTGCAGGTTTATCGAGAGAGCTCAGGCTCTGATTCATGGAGATCTCCACACTGGTTCTATCATGGTGACCACAGGTTCAACTCAAGTCATTGATCCAGAATTTGGGTTTTATGGACCAATGGGTTTTGACATTGGAGCCTTCCTTGGAAACCTGATTTTGGCATACTATGCACAGAACGGACATGCTGATCAAGCAAACGATCGTAAAGTATGTATGAATGAATCTTTTAGCTTGTTAATTTGGCACCCTTTATAAGTCCAATAGTGGTATTAATACATGGTCTACTTATACATGTACTTGGCTTTTGCCCATACCAAATTCTCCTTTTTTATGGTCTCTTGGTTTCACACGTAGTTGGGTTGATTTGTGTAGTTTAGCTTGTTTCTGAATTATTAAGGTAATGCCAGCCAAATGTCTTTAGAGTATACTTTGGGTCTACTTTTATGATGGATAGATGTTTGGAGTATGATGCTAATGTCTTACATGAGAAATAGTGATTTTTCTGATACCTGGGGATAATCAAAGTTGTCATGTACCACTGTACCAGCCCAAAGTGTACTTGGCAGACAAAAGTATACCAGCCCAAAATGTGCCTTGCATTGATTAACTTAATGATTCATGGCATCTTCAGTAGTAGCATTACTTAATGGCTGTGGCAGAATTGTCAGTTTGTCATAGAGCATGATGCATGTTCAACATGTGAGTGCTGCGTATCTTTTGCAGGCTTACAAGAAATGGATCTTGAAGACAATTGAAGAGTCGTGGAATTTGTTCCAGAAAAAGTTCATTGAACTATGGAATAAACACAAAGAAGGGAATGGGGAGGCGTACCTGCCTGATATATACAACAACTCAAAGCTTTTGAGCGTTGCTCAGAAGAAGTACATGACAAACCTATTCCATGATAGCCTTGGGTTTGGTTCAGCCAAAATGATCAGGTAACTGCAGATTAGATTTGTGAATAATTTTTTTTCTTAAAGAGAATATTTCTAAATGAAGTCACTTTCTCTTACTAACAGACTAACTTGCGAAATCCTATGTGAGATATAATAACTGGCTTTTTGACTGAAACGACAAAACCATACTCAAGCCAAATAATAAAAAGATTTTGGATTTTAGTTTTGATGTAGTATATATTTTTTGTTTGGTGCAACTGTGCGTCATAAAACCAACTTTCTGAAGTCAGCTTTAATGAAAGCGAGTGAAGTAAAAAAAAAACGGTTATGTTTGAGGCTGTTTAGGCATCCTGTGCAGTGAAAAAAAGTATATAGAATTTTCAAAATGTTTGCTCGTTACTTTTCCAAATGAAATGCCTTCTCACAAGGACTATAAGTCACATTTTAACACCAACTTCAAACACTACGCATACATGTATTTTTTTTTTTTTTGCATTCCCAACTGAATATTGTTTCCAAAATTTGGTTCTTCCTTATGCAGGCGAATAGTTGGAATTGCTCACGTCGAGGATCTCGAGTCAATTAAGGATGCCAGCAAGAGAGCAGAGTGCGAGCGCGCTGCCCTCAATTGTGCAAAGGCGATCCTCAAGGGAAGACGCCAATTTGAGACCATCGAGCAAGTCATTGAGCATATTCAATCGTTTGACCAGGACTGAGAAGACAGACAGTCTATTTTTGCGCTTAAGGAGACATACTTTCGTCAATTAACCCATGCATACCCGAGTATCGATGAATCGTCTGTTTTCAAGCACCGGTTGTTTGTGTTTTCTGTATTGGGATTATATGATGAAAAGGTGGCCATTTGTGGTCTCATAGTTTGGACTGTGTACACTACTAGTGTAAGATCTTATTCCGCCACTGGCCCCTTGGTTCTGAATAATGAAATGTACGAGGTCTCAGTACATTTAGATGCTTGTATTTTACCAATAAATTTTGTTCTGATGGTTCTTTGGCAAGTACTGCCTTGTTATTGTCTTCATAATCTTGATCTTTGTAAATAAGATCTGTTGCCGTCCATTCCGTCTAGGAAGATGTACATCTCTAAATTCACGTCTGAAAATGTCAATTCAATCGTGTTAATGCTCTTCTTTGGACACCAGTGACTGTAGCGCACTGTTTGGTATTATATCTCACTGTAGCACGGGAAGAACAGTAGGTTTGGGGCTCCGACCGGCTTCACTACAGCAGTATCAGAGCCAGCCGGAAGGAGTCCCTCCGAACATGTCCTTCTTCATACTAAGATAGTAAGATACCAATAACACATGTTGCTGTTTTTTTTTCTTCTGATTATAGTCCATGTAGATTTTTTTTCTTTCCTTTCTTATTAGATAAGAGTCCATGTACATATTTCTGAATACCGCATTGAGCTAACCAAGTCGAATGCAATGATATCCAGTTCTTGCAGTCAAGCACTGGTACATAAACTAGCTGTACTCCTGGTTTGTAACCCCCTTCAGTCCCGGTTTTGGAACCGGGAGCATGAATCCGGGACTAAAGGGCCTCTCCTTTAGTTTCGGTTTTGCGCCCGGGACTAAAGGTGGTTGGTAATACCAAACGGGGCTAAAGAGGCCTCCCGGCCTGACCACGTAGACCGGCCCTTTAGTCCCAGTTGGTATTTGTCCTGGTTGATAATACCAACCGGGACTAAAGGTTTTTTTTTCTTTTTTTTTCTATTTCTATTTTCCTTTTTTTCTATTTTCACGCTGCTACCAGGTTTTTTTTTGTTTCTATTTCTATTTTCCTTTTTTTCTATTTTTAATTGAAGATTCGTTTTGGTTTTTGAATACGCATTCTACGCTGCTAGAATATACGTACGTTTATAATGTTCAACATTTTGTATAAACTATAGTATGAAGGACCTTTAGTCAAGGATCAGCGATACAATCCAATAGAGCAGATCCTGTTCAAGTTCGTGCTGCATAATTCGAGAGCTGAGCTTTTAAGTTAGCTTTCACTCTTCTGAGCAAGCGAGGTGGTGCTAATAGGTGGGACTGGCTAGCAATTCCAGCATATTGCGTATTGGGCCGCTCCATTATGGTATATGCTCTCTCCTATGTGTGGGCTTCAGGTCGAGCCAGCCCATTGAGGCTCCTGTAAACGCCCGGGACTAAAAGACCTTTAGTCTCGGTTGGTAATACCAGCTGGGACTAAAGATATACCTTTAGTTCCGGCTCATAATACCAGCCGGGACTAATTGATTTGGTCGTGTTTAAATCAATTGATTTCCTACGTACAATACCAGTCCTCGATGGTCAGCCGGAACTAACTGATTTCCTACGTACTAGTGTAGCAGCTAGCTAGCAGTCCTCGATGGTCAGCCGGGATCAGCCGGGACTAATTGATTTCCTACGTACTAGTGTAGCAGCTAACTAGCAGAGAGAGAGACTGTTTTATTGGCTTACACGTACGGACGGTGAACAGCTAGCTAGCTAGCTAATGTAGCAGCCGGGACTCGCTCCCGTACACGTACAGCTCTGAGCCATCACGCGGCCGGCACTCCACAGACCTCAATCGATTGGAGACCTTTAGTCCCGGTTGGAGACAGCAACCGGGACTAAAGATCCCTTTCTAATCTCGGACGGAGCCTCCAGCCGGGAGTAGACTTTTACTCTCAGTTGGAGGGACCAGCCGGGAGTAAAAATTAATTTTTAGTCCCGGTTGGTAGCTCTAACCGAGACTAAAGGTCCCTTACAACAAAAGCCTGCCACAGTAGCCGTTGGGCATGACCTTTAGTCTCGATTAGAGCTACCAACCGGTACTAAAGGTTTCTCTACTCCCGACGTGAAAAATATCGGGACTAAAGCCAAATTTCAAAGTGAATCAAAGGTCGTTTCTCTACTAGTGAAGAGTCCAAAAGTCCAACGGAAATACGCCAACAGTTACAACATGAAAACACACTTGTTGCAACAACTGAAATCATCTTATGAAACACTAAGAGGAGAAGAAACCCTGTGGCAACAAAGTAGAGATGGAGGTGATTGAAACAAACTAAATCGTTTGGTGCACCATCGAAAACATGCTACTGAAACATTGAAAAACACCTTTTGATCTCCATCTCCATCTTGATCGACACAAAACAACGACATCCAGAGAAAAAAGTCATTGCAAAAAAATCAACGCATTATTGGTGCATCTAGTTATAGTTGTTGCAACATCTAAAAAGATACCCATCTCCATCTCGATGAGAACATATCAAAATCCGCTTATTATGCGATGCGATGCAACATCAACACGAGTGAATATCTAGTTAGATCTACTACAACACGAGTGAATCACTGGAAAATCGAATAGCAAAACATCAGATATCATGTGTTGCAACATCACATAAATACACCTGCAACATGTATCGCACAAGAGGAGCGAGGAGCTTCGGCCCTGAGAAGCGTAGCTCGTCCTTGTGTTTTTCCTAAGGCTCATCCAAACGACTTTTCCTATAGAATTTCTGCATTTTTATTATATATTTTACACATGCACCACTGTCCCATTCTTGTGTTTTTCCGATTTCTACGTTTTTCAATCCTATGTTCCAACTTCCAAATGAACCTTTAATATTATATAGCTATAGGTATATAGATATATAGATATAGATTAAGTAGAAATTCACTTCACGACAAATAAAAGTTGCCCGTTAGCATTTGGTTTGTTTCTGTCTCACTCCAAAAGTCTATGATGTCACATTCAGTTCGATTATCCAAATGCTCTCCTCTCCTCATAAAACCCCACCACCACACAGCTCACCGCAGTTCGCACTTGGCAGATTCCCCACGGCCCCTCTCTGTCCACTCCTCTCGCCGGTGCCCTCACTGCCCGAGTGGCAGTCAGCCTCAGCCATGACCGCGGAGGCGGAGCAGGGCTTCCGCCAGCTGGACGAGGCGTCCTTGGTCGCCTACATCAAGGCCACGCCGGCGCTCGCCTCCCGCCTCGGCGGCGGCAGCCTGGACTCCATCGAGATCAAGGAGGTCGGTGACGGTAACCTCAACTTCGTCTACATCATGCAGTCCGAAGCTGGCTCGATCATCGTCAAACATGTTCGAGTGTCCGCCCCTCACTCCCAGCACACCCGCTCCTCGTCCTTATCACCCCTCACTTGTGTTAGCCCCTGGATCTCCGACACGGGTGAGTCGACCACTTGCCACCATTGCCGACCATGCACTGTCGTTGCCAACCACACACTATGGCTAGAGGTAGAAGAAGGGAGGGAGAACAGAGCACACACACACAGCACAAGCACCAGCATTGGCTGGAGCTCTACAGAGGAAATGTCAAATTGATCTCGCTCTTTTTACTGAGTTGCAGTGGCAAACTATATATACAACTCTACCCATCTAATCCTATTACACAGACATGTCAAGTCGCCATGTTTGCTTTCTGAAGGACTAGATGTAACAACAAAGTGACTTTAGCGCTTTGCCCTCTTTGTGGCTACTCTGATGTGGCGGAGAGCCATTTAGGCGCCTACCCTACTGCAATGCTACAATGCAACAGCGGGGGGAGGGGGGGCTTTACAACGCCGTCTGTCCTGTCCGTGCGTTCACACAAGGGGAGCAGCAGATTACTTAATAATTCTCCCCCTAATCCTGCTGCTAACCCTTGAACCCTCTCCATGCCGATCATTTTATTCAGCTCCATGAGCCAAGACGGGCGAGCGGCTTGGTGAGGATGTCCGCGAGTTACCGACCAGTTTCGACGAACTCTATGACAATGTGCCCTCCATCGATACAGTCCCTGAGGAAGTGGAACTTGACGTTGATGTGCTTGCTTCGGTCGTGGAGAACCGGATTCTTCACGAGGGCGATGGTGGGCTGGTTGCCCACCATCAGTGCTGGTGGGTGAGCTTCCACACCGGTCAGCTCACCCAGCAGCTGGCGCAACCACATAGCTTGGCACGCCGCTGTGGCCGCCACCACGTACTCTGTCTCGCACGTGGATAGCGCCACCACCTTCTATTTTAGCGACAGCCATGAGATTAGAGCCGACTCGAGGAAAACGAGCACGCCAGAGGTGCTCCGCCATCCATCGATGTCCCCCGCCATGTCTACATTGCTGAACACAATGAGCTGCAACCTACTCTCGCTGGTCTTGGGGAAGACGACCCCCTGATCCACCGTCCCCTTAACGTAGCGCAGCAGCCGCTTCACCGTAGCCTAGTGATCCTCTCGGGGATCCTCCATGAAGCGGCTAACGTAGCCCACGTCGAACGTAATGTCCGGCCTCGTGTGGACTAGGTAGCGCAGACCACCGACAATGCTTCGATAGAGTGTTGCATCTACCTTCGTCGTAGTACTAGCCTTCGTCAGCTTCAACCACTCCTCCATTGGAGTCACACACGGCTTGCACTCAGCCATGCCGCTCCGCTCCAACAGCTTCAAGGCGTACGCACTCTGACCGAGCGTGAGTGCCTCCTTCCCTTGTCTCACCTCGATGTCGAGGTAGTAGGGAGAGTGCACCAAGATCACTCACTCGAAAATGAGGCGTCATCTTGCGCTTGAAGCTGTCGATGTCCTCTGCACGCGCGCCGGTGATGATCAAGTCATCCACATACACGCCGACGATGAGCTCCTCCTTCCCCCGTCGCCGCATGTAGAGCGTGTGTTCGGTTGCACACCGCATGAACCCAAGCTCGCCCAGCATGCGGAACCGCACCTCCTCACCGTCGTGGAAAGCATCCACAAACTCAGCGATGTTGCTTGGAGGTGAGGCGAACTCGATCGGCGTCGAGGGAGTTCCCTGTTCCACTGGAGTGGTCTGCACGGCACCTGGAGTGCTCGGCACCCTGGCTGCAGTGCTTGGCACTACTCCTGGACCACTCATCACCACCCCTGGAGTGTTCGGCACCACTATAGGAGTGCTCAGCTCCAGTCTTGGAGTGGTCGGCACCACTGCAAGACTTCTTGGCTCTGCTACGGGAGTGTTCGGCACCAGTCCTAGAGTGGTCGACACCACTGCAGGACCCCTTGGCGTCACTCCTGAAGTGCTCGGCACCCCTCCCGGAGTGCTCGGCATAGCCCTAGGAGTGCTTGGCTCTATTGCTAGAGTGGTTGGCACATTGTCTCCAGCATCTCCACCACCGTGGATGACCAAGTGCTCGACGATGAAGGTGCTGGTGAAGCCGCCAGCTTCCCCCGTGCCTAGACTGTTCTAGTCCTAGGCCGCCTTCTCGTCGAACACGACATCACGCTAGACAAGCACCTTGCCTCCGCGTGGGTCGTAGAGCCGGTACGCCTTGGTACCTTCTGCGTAACCCAGGAGCACCATCGGTGTGCTCCTGTCCTCCAGCATGGTGAGGACCAGCTTCATCTTCCTGACATGACTGATGTAACCGAATGTCCAGAGAAAGTACACGCTCGGCTTGCGCCCATACCAAGCTTCAAACGGTGTCTTGCCCTTCAGGGCCTTGGTGGGCGCGTGGTTGAGGATGAACACTGTCGTGGTCACCGCCTCACTCCAGAACCTTGCCTGCATGCTCTTGGCCTTCATCATGGATCGAGCCATGCCGACCACCGTCTGGTTCCGCCGCTCCACCACGCCATTCTGCTCTGGCCAGTACGGCGCGGTGTGGTGTCGCACCACACCCTCATCCGTGTAGTACGCAGTGAACTCCACCGAGGTGAATGCACCGCCACGATCAGTCCTTAGCACGCGCAGCTTTTGCTACTCTTTGCCTCTGCACGTGCCTTGAACTTCTTGATCGCCGCCGCCACCTCATCCTTGCTCATCAAGAGTTGCAGCCACATATAGCGACTGCAATCATCCATGAGCAAGAGGAAGTACCGCCGACCACCGTTTATGGCTGGCGTGATTGTCCCGCAAAGATCACCATGGATGAGCTCGAGAGCGTCTACCGCGCGATACTTGACCGCCTTTGGGAACGACAGCCTCCTCTGCTTCCTGGCTAGGCATCTGTCACATAGCTTGCCTCCATGCTTGATGTGGGGCAGCCCTCGGACCATCTTCTCTAGCCGACCGAGCACGTCGAAGCTGAGATGGCCGAACCGGGCATACCACAACCATGGCTCCTCGGTGTGCCATGCTACTAGGCACATCGGTTACTCCACCTTCAAGTTGAGCAGATACAGTCAGTTCTGGGACCTCTTCACCTTAGCAAGAAGGCGCTGCTCCTGATCCCTAATCCTGAGGACGCCGTCCTTGATCAGTACCTCGCTACCTCGCTCATCCAGCTAGCCAATGCTGATGATGCTTGAACGCAGTTGTGGGAGATAATATACATCCATTAGCGCGTGGTGCTCGCCGTTCTGGCACCTAAAGATGATGGTGCCACACCCTCAGATCGCCATCCTTGAGCCATCACCGAACTTCATCGTGCTAGTCACGTTGCCGTCGAGCTCGAAGAAGGCTTCCTTGGAGCCTGTCATGTGGTTGCTGGTACCAGAGTCCAGGTACCACCGCTGCTCCTGTCTGCCACCCACACATCTGAGGTGGACTTGAGCGCGTGGTTCGTCGAGGTGGACAGCCTTCAGAGCCTTCCCAGGCTCTTTCACCGCCATCACCTCTCCCTTCTTCTTGGCCTCAACATCGTGCAGTGCACAGAACATCGCCATCAGGAGAGTGGCATCATCATCATCATCAGCCTACGCTAGATGAGCCTTAGCATCGTTCTCCTGCTTACGATTTGGGCACTCCTTTGCCCAATGGCCCATCTTCCCGCAGCGCTGGTAGGCGTTGGGGTCGACCGTCTTCTTCTTCTCTGAAGAAGACTTGCCACGGCGCTTGCCATCGCCACCACGGCTGGAGGAGGCTTCCCCGGAGTTCGTTCGGGTAGCCCACTCCTCCTCTGTCAGCGGCAGCTTGCCGCTGTCCTTCGTTGTTGTCGTCTGCTCCAGGCGCTCGTCCACCGCCCACAACCGACCAGTCACATCCTCAATGGTGAGGGTGGATAGATCCAGCATCGTCTCTATAGAGAGAGCGATCTGGATGTACTTTGTCGGCACAGAGTGGAGATACTTGGAGACCGCCTCTTCTTTGTCGATGGTGACGCCGTGGCTCCTCAGCTTGTTGATGAGCGTCTGCAGGTGGAGGGAGAAGTCCTCCACCGATTCACCATCCTTGAACTTGAGGTTGGCGTACTCCTGCTTCAGCAGCTGGGCCGTTGCCTTCTTTGCGCTCGCTGCAATGGCCTCCCACGCCTCCTTAGCAGAGCTTTTCGCCCCCAATGGCTTCCTGTACTCTGATGGCACAACAGTGAGGATAGCCTCCAGCGCTGACATGTCGTCTTCTTTGTTGTCGATGCCCTTGTCAACAGCATTCCAGAATCGTCGGGCTCTAAGCTTGACCTTCATGGTCACCGACCACTCGCCATAGTTGGTGTGAGTCAGCGTCAGCCAACTGGCACCGCTGACCTTCCACACTATGCGCACAATGACCTCCTGTCGTGGCTGGGCAGCCACAGCAGCGCCGCTGCTGCCGCCCATCTCTAAACCGTCCGTCATCGTCAGCGGTTAGTCCAGCGACGGTGCTTATACCGCTCCGATACCACTTGTTAGCCCCTGGATCTCCGGCATGGGTGAGTCGACCACTCACCACCGTTGTCGACCACGCACTATCGTTGCCGACCACACACTATAGCTAGAGGTAGAAGAAGGGAGGGAGAACAGAGCACACACAACACAAGCACCAGCATTGGCCGGAGCTCTGCAGAGAAAATGGCAAACTGAACTCGCTCTCTTTACTGAGTTGCAGTGACAAACTATATATACAACTCTACCCATTTAATCCCAGTACACAGACATGTCAGGCTGCTATGCTGCTACAGTGACTAGATGTGATAGCTGAACTGACTTTGGTGTCTGCCCCTGCTGTGGCTACAGTGTGGTAAGAGAGCCGTTCGGCTCCTGCCCCTACAGCTGCTACAATGCAACAGCAGGGAGCCCTTTACGGCGCCGTCTGTCCCTGCCATGCGTTCACACAAGGGGAGCAGCAGATTACTTAACAACCTAACGACGTGGGCGAACCTGGAACACGCAGGCGCTCCCGTACGTGCGCTACGTGGGGGACTCGTGGCCGATGACATGGGAGCGTGCTTACTTCGAGGCCTCCACGCTGCGTGAGCACGGCCGCTTGTGCCCGGAGCACACCCCCGAGGTGTGCCACTTCGACCGGGCCATGTCGCTGATGGGGATGCGCTACATCAAGCCTCCGCACATCATCCTCCGCAAGGGCCTCATCGCCGGCGTCGAGTACCCGCTGCTCGCTGACCACATGTCCGATTACATGGCCAAGACGCTCTTCTTCACCTCCCTCCTCTATAACAACAGCACGGATCATATAAGAAAGGAGGTGAGCCCCTTGCCCCCCTTCATTGCTGTTGAATCGCGCGTTGAGTTGGCTCCAACTTGTTGGTACGTGGCCATGCTTCTAAAGGGAGAAAATATTTAGTGCAAACCACCTATTAGATGAAAAATATGAAATCCAATTCAAAAACTTTATTTCGGTTGTTCAAAAAAATCTGAAATTTAGTACATCCATAGTGCATACAAATATGTACTCACGTGCAAAAGTTGAGATGCAAACTCGCTTTTAAAAAATCGTACGAAAATAACAAATTTTAAATGCATGTGCACTAGAATTTGTCTTTGAAATTTATTATTTTCGTATGAATTTTTCTAGTTTGAGTTTGCATATCAACTTTTACATGTGAGTATATATTAGTATGCACTATGGATATATCAAATTTAATTTTTTTAAAAGATCAAAGTACATTTTCTGAATTGGTTTCCATGTTTCCATGTGCACTAACTTGACGGATATGCAATGGGTTGTGCTGTGGTTGCAGTTGCTAAGTACTCTGCGAACGTGGAGATGTGTAGGCTCATGGAGCAAGTTGTCTTCTCGGATCCATACCGCGTCTCCAAATTTAATCGGTTTACCTCGCCTTATCTTGACAAAGATGCTGAGGCAGTTCGAGAGGATGATGAGCTCAAGTTGGAAGCGGCTGAATTGAAATCGATGTAATAATTACCTGAGTAGAAATAATTCTATCATGGAAATGCGACTTATTCGATTTCCAACTGAAGGTTTATCGAGAGAGCTCAGGCTCTGATTCATGGAGATCTCCACTATGCTTCTATCATGGTGACCACAGGTTCAACTCAAATCATTGATTCAGAGTTTGGGTTCTATGGGCCAATGGGTTGATGCCGAACACAACTAACAACTAAGGGCCTATTTGGTTCCTTTAGTCCGCGGACTAAAGTTTAGTCTCTGGACTAAAGTTTAGTCTGGACCCTGTTTGGTTCCAGGGACTAAAGTCCATTAATGTAGTTCTATAAAGACAATATTACCCCTGTGGATAGGCTTGGGGACCGATGGGATGGGGAGTAACGAGGGGTAGTGTCTCCAGAACACTTTAGTCCAGTTTAATCACCCCTTCGTGGACTAGAGGACTAAACCCTTTAGTCCAAATTTTAGTCCATGTGTTTGGCATTTTAAGAACTAAAAGTAGGCATTTTAGTCCACATTTTAGTTTAGTTAATGGAACAACAACTAGCAACAAAAAACAACTAACTCAGGCAAAGAAAGAAAGTGTTGATGCCGAACACCACCAGCGAAACCACCTGAAGCACGACCACGACCACGACCATACAGGAGGAACGGAGCAGCGAGCGGAGATGGAATGCCTCGCGACGCCTTCAAGAAGGACACGACGCCAAAGGCGTCGACGTCGCAAGCCCGCATGGGAAGGTTTTGTAACACCCTCGGTGTTACGCCCTAAACAAATTACCAAATCATGTCATGAGCATCATGTTTATGTGATAATGCATGTGATGGAATATGTAGATAACATTTTTGTAACTTAAGATGATCAATAAAAATATTAAATGAGAAGCTATTACATAACTCATATGTATCAAGTAGGTTTTAAAACTAATTTTTATTGAACAAAAAACACTATAAAACATATATGTGGCACTTAAATAAAATTTGAATATGAACTTTGTAGATGACAATGAAATACTTGCTGTAGAAAAATAACCTTGCTAGCTAACATTTCTAATAGCCTAAAAATGGAACTTGGGATCGAAGTTCAGCTGAAAGAGTATTTTCAAGTTTATAGACAACAAGACAATGCCATGTTTGGGAATTTATTTTGTGAAATCGAGTTAAGAAGTGGTGTTGTGTTTTAGCTCGAGTTGGTAGCCTGATGAGCCCTCTTGAGCATGGTGAAGGTGGTTTGGTTCCTAAAGCAACCGTTTAGTTGTTATGGGCGCTTTAAAATGCGTGCACGACACGTTCTCGGGCTAGCTCGCTGGGTGGACGCGGTCACCAAGCTCGGGCGCTCGGCGTCACCGCGCTGGTCGCACGTGCACACTCTGCCGCGCGTGGCCGGCCATGGCTACCTCTGGCCTAGCTGTGGCCCAGCCGCCGCAGGCCCCGCCGTGCGGAGCTACTGCCGCCGCCTGCCCCACCCCGTGCCGCGATGAAGCCACTGTCGACGCCATCACCTCGTCGTCATGTCCGCGCACTGCTACCCTGCCTCACGTTGCCGCTACCGACGCCACCGCAACGCCATGCTGCGCTACTGCCGCTCGCTCTGCCACCATGGACACGTGGGATGTCCCGGCTGCGCTCGCACTGTCGCCTCACCTTAATGGTGATGTGGCCGCACAGGCCACGCCCCCACTTTCCTCCCCGCGCGCACGTGGTCTGGTCGCGTGTCGTGTAGTGAGTGCGCATGTACGGTCGCGAGTCCGGCTGACCGCTAGCTGCCAAGGCGAGGATGGCCAAAGCTCGGACCTGTCCCTCTTTCCCTCTACTGCCGTCGTCGAAGCCGTGCCAGCACGTTAGACAGCGAGAGGTCATCTCCAATCAATTCCGCCCCTCTACGGCCCCGCCAGTGAGTTCTCTAGCTGCCCAACCCCACACAGCCATGAAGCACGCACTGCCAAGCTCCAATTTGGAGCTTTCCCCGCCGCCGGGCCGATAAGGCCGTGATCGGCAGGTGCCGATGGCAGCCCTCCTACCTCCACCCCGAACTAATTCACCCGCACTACTAGCTTCGTCTTGCCTCCCTCTCCACCTTGCGTATACCAGAGGAACCGCTACCGCCTCTCCGTCGCTGCTGACACGACCGTGCCACCGCTCCTCCGCCATCCTCCACCCCAACCGTCACCTCGTCCTGGTCCACGGTAGTCTCCTGATGTTCACTCACTAGCCAATTAGGTCCGGAGTAGCCCCAGCTCACCGGAGCGGGTGTGCCACCACCGCAGACGGCCGCGCATCGCTGCAGCTCGCTCCAGCGCTTCCTGCCGCCCCGCGTTGCTGCTTGGTGTAGGCGGTTGGACCGTAGTTGATGGTCGGCCTGACCGACGGGCCAGCGTGAGCCTCTGGTGTCCAGCGTGGTCGCGTCGTGTCACCACCCGCCGCACCGCCGTGTGCTGAGTCACTGGGGGTGTGTGCGGGTGAATTAGGGAAAGGTCGAGAGGTTAAGTGAGAAGGCCTATGAAAGGGGAAAATAGTGTTAATACTCAGTTGTGATTTAGAAGAAGTTCAAGGTCTCTTTTGCATAAAGCGCCAGCCCGCGGGCGTCTCGCGCGTGGGCCGGCCTCGCGTGGGCCGCGCGAGAGATTCACTTTCCATTTTCCTAAGGAATTAGAAATAGTTTTCTAATTTATTTTTTGAGCTGCTCTTTGGTAATTAATATAAAATCATGTAGGTGTTCAAAAATTGTAAAACAAATTTTATTAAGTTCCTAAAATTATGATCTATCTATTGGTATATTTAGTTTATGTTTATATGTGTTGACATTAGGAGCTATTAAATCGTTTGAGAGTGCTTAATATTATTAAGTTAAACATTGTAGGAATTTTTGTGGTAAATTGGTGATAGCTTTAGTCCTAAAATTTTTACAGTAGTTTCATTGTTATTATTATGTGTTCACTGTAATTTTTGTAGCCTTAGAATAGACTAAGCATTAGCGTAGTTAGATACTCTCTGTTTTAATATACAATAAAACACTAGTAGAAATAAAGATATATCCTTAAATTGTCAAGCTATGGGTTTATTAGTTGAACCCAACACTTAGCTTGATGAAGATGGTAGTTAGCTTAGTATCTTAGCCATTAGAGCTAGCTTAGTAGCTTAGTATGCACATTCTTATTTTAAGAGTTGCTATTGCCTAAAGGCTAAGTGTTGTATCATCATCGCATGCATGTAGATAACGAGTTGGTGGAGATAGAGACCACAGACGATCGCGAGTTTGAGGAGATCGTCGAGGAGTACGAGGAGTAGATTCTCGTGCAGGAGGAGGTCCTAGAGCCACCGACGACTAACTCAGTTGACACCACGCCTGCCCAAGATAAGCCCCGATGCATAACCCTTATTTTTTATAATCACTGAATATATATATGTGATGTGCATTTACGTTACAGGAATTCAATGGAAACCACATGCATATATGTATATCCATCCTATAGTCCTACTAGTGCAGGTTTGAGTAGCTGCTATGGTTGAGCTTTCGGTAGCGTGAGTAACCTGCCGTTACTCACAATAGATGATTATTATAATTTCTCTCATGATAAAAATGATAAAAGGAAAATAGAGATCGGACAGGGATATGGTATGGGTTATGGTGGGTGTGACGAGTTGTGCCCCGCGACCAACCGGGCTTAGCTTGGTTACACTGTTTTCCCTGTCCATGTCGATTGAGGACCGTCCGTTGTTGTGGATGGTAGTCAGGTCGCAGACTTATTATCCTGAGCACATACTTGCTTATGAGAACGGAAAGGCTTGTTACGCTCTTGTCGTGAGTTTCGGCTCTTTCTGGACCGACTGATTGGAGGCGGGAAAGGTGAAGGTCTAAGCACCATATTGAGACCGGGTCTCAAGTGTGGGGGATTGGAGTCCAAGTTTGGATGGGACCTGGACCCCGTGACAGGAGTGGAATGGGTTGGTCTTGTTTGTACCTAGGGTACAAATGGGGCATGTGTTTTGGTGTACCCAGCTGGGATACATTGGTTCATGAATCACTGTTTCCGTGAGACGGTATGACTTGGCTATGGTCTAGCACCATAGTTAGAACTGGAATATGAAAGATGGTGTCATTGTTTCGGAACTGGGGGTCCTTAACTGACTAGTGAATTTGTGCTACGTGCTCCCAATTCCGGATGGTGATGCAAAGAGACACAAGGTTTATACTGGTTTGGGCAATGGATGCCCTACGTCCAGTCTGAGAAGATGTTCTTGTATTCCTTGCACCGGGGTGCTCGTAGTAGGGGGTTACAAGCTACGCGAGAGAGGGAGTTCGTCCCAGGTCTCTGTGAGGGGAGGAGATATGAATTACCGAATGAGGCGTGTTGTTCATGCGAGTATTCGTGACTCTATATGCCGTCCCTAGAAACGGTCCTGGCCGCCTCCTTTTATAGCCGCAGGGAGGAAACCAGGAGTACATAAGAGAGCTACACGTGGAGCGGACTATTCGATGACGTATTTACTCCTGGAGCATCATGGTGTTGTCGTGGGAGTTCCCGTAGATGTCTAATTGGTATGGTCTCCACTTGCAAGTAACATGCTTTGCATTTGTTGACTTAATTGGATTGTAGAGGCTCGGCGGCCATTGTGGCCGGTCGTCTGCGAGGGCTGTTGTCTGCCGAGGCTCGCCGTGTGACGAGGCCTGAAGTGACCAGTGTGTAGATCTGGTCTCGGCGCCATTAGGCGGAATAGTCGCGAGACGATGCGCCTATAGGATCTGATTACCTGTATTGTCGATGAGGGATGGTAAAAAAGGTGATCTGCCCGTTGTCCCGTCGCTCCTGTTGCAGCGCACTGCCGATCGTGGCTTACGTAGTGGGTGCAGCTGAGCGCATTAATCGGATGCGACAGTCTGCCAGAGAGACCTTTGGGGCGGAGGCGACGAGGTTGCGGGACGAGCTCGGCCTCGGGCGAAGCGGGAGAGCGCCCAATTCATCCGAGGCCCTACCGAGGGGTCTAAGGCGAGGCGAAGCAGAGGCGCGGGCGGAGTAAGATCGGTGAATCCAAGGCCTGTCGAGGGGCTCGGGCGAGCCGGAGCGGTCGGTCCGCTGATTCCGAGGCTACAGAACCCGCTCGACTCCCCACGTTCGATGTCCTTGGTGCGGGAGTTAGGCAGCACGGTGGTCGGTAACCCCTACTGCTGTGCCGTCCACGGATGGCGGAGGTTG